AGCTGGAGTCCAACTCTCTTCGACCGTAGGGGTTCACATCTTTCCAGGACGCGGCAGTATTAGCCAGCACAGGGGCCCGTGAAGACTTTGCTCTGAGCTTCCGTGGTTTCTAAAGTATTGGCAACCCTTCTGGCTTTGCCTTCTGGCTTTCCATCCCCTACCCCCACTCAGATGGCTAAGGTGTTGCACGCATTAGTTTAGAGAGATTTAAAATGCGCTCCAGTGTACGCGGCACACCGTGGAGCAGACTGAAGGACCTCGCTAGCACACCGTCCCTCAAACGTTGGCATGCCGCCCCATGGCTCATCACTAGCGACCCTGGTTTCACCCCTTTTCCCCCTTCAAATCTGGCGATGCGAGGCAAGGCGAGGAGAGGAGAGGGCGTGCCTGTGACGTGCTCTGGCGCCTGTGACAGCACAAGGGATGAGTCACAATGGGGGTGGTTACAAGGGGCAACAGCAGGCAGCGCTGCGCCAGTACAGCCTGGGCCATGGCTCCAGCGATAGCGTTAGCCTTGAGCACGCTGCGCATCTTCCAGACGACACTGGAGGTCGGAGATGAGCAGGGTGCGGCTGCGCACCAGCGCATGCAGCAGCGTGTGGAGCAGCTGATCCAGGAGATGACTCAGCTGCTCTTTGCTGCCTCGCAGCGGTGGCAGTTCTGGGCCTTTGCTGGTGGCCTGGTCCTGCTCTTTTGGCTCTGCTGGCGGCTCTGGAAGAGAAGCCGTGATCCAGGAAGCAGCAGCAAGCAGGGCAGCAGCAGAAGCCTTGAGGAGGCGGAGGAGGAGGAGGCGGAAGAGGGGGAAGAACCATTACATATGGACAGGTTTCTGAATGAGTACAGGTCATGGGCGCTGCCAAGCAGGCGAAGAAGGTGCATGGTAGTGGAAGGGCTGGTGAACGAGCTTCTCCGCGTCTGCCAAATGCTCTCTGGCAATGGCTTCATGCCGCAGCTGCAGCCAGCTGTCAGGGTGGGCAGCTTCCGAGAAGGCCGGAATGCCCGTGGAGGACACCTTGTCTATCGCCTGCTTGTGCCCCTGAAGCCACCCCGTGGGCACTCCTTCCACCTGGAGCTGGGCACCGAAGGGAAGATGCTGGTGAGAAACTCCCGCCTGCGGGTGCAACTGGAGTGCACGTGCACCAGGGAGCAGCGGCTGGGGGACATGCTCTGCTTCCTCCACCACCCTGAGGACGAGCTGATGAGCACTCAGGAAGCCAGCCTCCTACAGACCCTCTGCACGGGCTCCTACCTCGACGTGCAGAAAACCGCCTTCTGGCTCCAGGAGCTGATAACAGCAGCCTGTGCTGCTGTGCCTCAGGCGGCCAAACGCCGCCAGGTGGCGGTGCTGGCCTCCACACCACTCTGCGTGCTGCCCTCCACACGCTTCTGCAAGCTCAAGCTGACCAACGCCTTCAGGAGATCCTTCTTCATTGAGCTGATCTTGGCCGTGCAGCAAGGCAACTCGCACACGTTTGTGTCCATGGAGTAAGCAGAGGTCAGCGTTACCGGCAGTGCGCAGTGGCCCAAGAGGCCGCTCGCTGCAAGGAGGCTTGCGTCAGAGACTGCCGCCCCACCTGGACCGCCACCGCCCACCGCCATCACGAGACTCCATCCCCTCCGAGACCTTTACCCTGGGCAAAGATGCCAATAAAACCTTCTGTTTTTATAAACGCTGCTTGTAAATAGGCTGAGAGAAGGAAGAACCGGGGTTGGATGCGCCAGCCGTTGACTGCCTTGGGATGTGACCACAGCAGGGTGGAAAGAAGGCGCCTAGCTTAGACCAGGCTGCAGAGAGCCAGCAGGCAGGTGACAAACCTCTGCTGCTGTGATGGGTGAACAGTCTGCAGCAGAAGAGCTGAAGCAGTGGGTGCTGGTTTCACTTGTTCTGCCACTAAGGCTTCCCCGCCTCTCTCTGCTCCTGCACTGGGGCAATGAAGATAGAGACTAATACACATTAGTACAGAGACATTTAAAATGTGCTCCAGTGTATTCGGCACATCACGGAACAGTGGCATGCTGCCCCATGGCTTATCACTAGCAAACCTGGTTTCATCCCTTTCCTCGCTTCAAATCTAATGTAAAGCTCCTTCCGTGAGCCCTGCTACCTCCTACACAATGATCCTTTTCCCCCTTTGAGAAAGGTCTACCCCATCTGTCGCTAGCAGGCTTTACATCATGTAGATCAACCCATTATCAAGACCCCCCAAATTCTGCCTCTGATACCAGTCATGGAGCCAGGTATCAACCAGCTGGGTCTTCCTGTTTCTTCCAACATCATTCCCTGCAACTGGAAGGTTAGAGGGAAAAAGTACTTGCGCTCCTGATTCCTTAACCAGTCATCCTAAGGTCCTGAAATCTCTTTTGATCACCCTTGGACTTCTTATTGCAACTTCATTGCTGCCTACATGAAAAAGCAGTAACGGATAAGAATCCGAGCGCTGTACCAGGGTAGGAAGTTTTCTCGTCACATTTTTAACCCATTTTTAACCCAGGCCCCAGGGAGGCAGCAGACGTCCCTAAGAAGTGTGTCTGCTCACAATATTGGGCCTTCTGTTCCCCTCAGAAGAGTCTCCTGTGACAATAACCTATCTTTTTTTCTTAATGGAAGTGGTTTTGATGCATTGCGACTTAACCTTGCTGACATCTCCAACCGAGATGAACCATCATCCTCATCATTGTTTGCTTCCACTTGCAGGGCCTCGTACTTACTGTACAAGGGCACTTCCTACAGGTTTCTTTGGCGGGGGCGGGGGGGCTTGGTCGCGGTTGCTCCTGATCCCCGTCCGGGTCTC